TCTGTGTGTGGATGTCTGAGCTCCCCAAGCCATTCCCTTCTCTTTCAAGCGTCAGTGTCACCATCAGATTGGAGGTGGGGACACTGATGGCAGGCTCCTCTTGAATGTGTCCCTCTGCCCGCCATGCCTGCCCTCCGCAGCTGCCCCACGGAGTGTGGGGCCTCCCCACCTTCACTGCGGCTCTTCTGCTCTGTGTAACTTGTGGGCCCCAAAGGGAGACCCAGGCTCAGTTATCAGTACACAAGGCAGCTACTTGGATGTGTTTTTCCTTCCCTTCCCTAAGCCCTGGTCAAAATAGGACATGAAGATCATCACATTTCCAGCATTTTGATGTTTGAAATGCAGTCAATATTCCAAGACTGGTGAAGCATTTCCCAATACTAGGAATAACATAAGACCACCCCCACAACCAGTGATTTTCTATCCAGCTGCCCCCTTCATCCCTTGAGCATTGATCACCAACTTCAATGGTCTTATCTGTTTATCTTCAGACTCCTCTGCCCCCACCAGAGTGCAAGGTCTCTGAAGGGAGGATCTCATACTGCCCACGAAACTCCAAAGCAGTAAGGTATTCCAAAGTCAACACAAACATACAATTAGGCATTATCATATCTGAAGTGTGAGATGCATTAAGATCATATACTAGAAAATCAAGAGGAACATTTGAATAAATATTCCCACTAACATAGAGTTCAATACAATGACTGGATATAAAAAACATAAAGACTATGAGCTTTCTTATTTCTATTTTTTTTTCAAAGATTTTATTTATTTATTTGACAGACAGAGATCACAAGTAGGCAGAGAAGCAGGCAGAGAGAGGTGCGGGGGAAGCAGGCTCCCTGTTTAAACAGAGAGCCCAATGCGGGACTCGATACCAGAACTCTGGGATCATGACCTGAGCCGAAAGCAGAGGCTTTAACCCACTGAGCTACCCAGGCACCCGGAGCTTTCTTATTTCTTGCAAAGTAGATGAGATAACAGACAACCTCCTTCTCTTCCAACCCTCTCCCCCCCAAAATTAGCTTCACATTTCATCAAAAATTATAAACTAACAGACGGATAGACATGATACATCTAAATGAAGAAAAGTGTTAACATTTTTCTGAGGAATATATATTAGGTTCGAATAAATTGGTCAAGACTTGTGTTCCCTGACAAGAAACTCAATATAGTAAAGATGTCAGTTCCTCCCCAATTAACTGATAGATTAAAAGCACTGTCAATGAGTCACAATGTGATTATTTTTCGGGGAAAGGAGAAGGTTTCAAGTTAGTCTTAAGTTTATTGGAAAAAATAAATGAGTGGCAACAGCCAAGAACACCAGTCAAATCAAAGAGTAATATTACTACCAGATATAAATTGAATCATAAACCTAAGAAACTGTGGTAAATCCAGACATGGTAACACAATGGTAACAACAGGTCAACTGAAAGATTCCCAAGCCCAGAAGCACAGTGATTTTGATTAAATGAGTTAGTTGTATAATAAAGGTGACACACACAGTCATAAGTAAACAGTTCGACAGAGAAAGGACAATTAGTTATCTATTTGAAAAAAGAGTTTAATTAGATTTCCTATTGTGTATAATTGAGGCAAACAAATTAAAGGTGGATTCAGGGCTAAATATTCTTAAGAAAGAAACAATAATAAAACGGCAAAACTCAGAAATATATATTTATGAATTGTGATCTGTTTTCAGGATTATTATTAAAGGGTTTCTAAATATCTAAAGCAGAAATTGCAGAACTAAGACTTATAATTTGATCATATGTATATATTCTTGATTATACATTAAAAAGGGGAAAACCTCTATACGTAAATTAGACCATAACATTTAAAAAGCAAATAATAAACTGAAGAAATACCTACAGAACATATTGTACAACATTAATATCCTTAACATGTAAAGAATTCTTATATACTAGTAAGAAAAAGACAAACACCAAATACAAAAATGGGAAAAGATACATCTAAACCATTGTGACATAAGGAATATCTGTGATCAACAGGCATGCGATGGTCAACTTTAGTGTTAATTGAAGAAACCCAAATAAACAAAGCATGAGGTATTTTTAGTATAGATTCCAAAATGGTAACAGCAATGCTAGCAAGCATGTGTGGGTGAAATGGATACTCACTTTAGAGATGGAAGTGTACTTGTGTAACAAAACCTTTCTAGAAATTACTTTGGAAATGCATACCAAGATCTTGGTATATAACCACTGACTGAGTCACTTCACTTAGGGACATTTGTCGTAAGACAGTAACAAATGGTATACTCAAGGATTTGGGTACATGCATGTTATCACGTCTACACAAGTGAAAAAGTTACAAGAAGGGAAGGCACAAAACATTGCTCTATTCCAGTAATTGAGATAAGAAAACAAATAAAAAGGAAAAGCATGAAAAGAAACAAACATCTCCATGTTAACTTGGACCTCTAGAACAAAACAGCAGAAATCAAATGAGTTGAGAAAGAATACAGTTAAGTAGCATGTTAAGTTCTTTGGCAAACAGCCCTAAAATAGCTGAAATAATACCTATTTTTAGGTCAAAGTCTGCCACTTAAAATAACATCAACATACTTCAAGTTAAAATTGTTCTTCACGTGAGAGAGCACCTGTGAACAAGGGGACAGAGGGCCACCAGCCGATGAGGTCACCTGCATGCAGAGACAAGGAAGGCACGTCCCTGAGCACCGCTGTGACCACGAGGCACTGTCTTTCCCCAAAGTGGTACTGTGCTCCTGTGACGTCACAGCCCCACTTCCACGTCCCTACTCCGAGGAAGAGTAAACATCAACCAGGTTCCCTTTAGGAGGAATTAACTTGGCTAAGGGTTGGAAGAACGTGCCGTCATCAGCTGAATGTGGGAGCAGGGAAAGGGATTCTGTGCACCGCCCCAAACCCTCCGACCCACCCAATGCCAGGGCATTCAAGAGAAAGAAAGAGGGGCTAAAGGAATGCTCCTTTAGCCGAGGCACAGGACATGAGCCACTCCACGCATATGATAAAGTTACAAGGCATTTTATATTTTCTGTTTACAAAACATTACATTTTCCTGAGGAAAACAAGGGGCATTTCAGCACCAAAGAACACAAGTCTCAAGATTAAAAAAACTCCAAATTCCAAACATTATGTATTTAAAACTCCTTCAAATCACTGAGGCTCTTCCCTCATCCTTGTGCCTGGCAGATTCCCATCCATCCTTTCTTTACACTCTGCACAGGCGCCCCCCAAGCCCTGAGCCTTGGTCCACCTCTTCGGGTAAACTGGACCCATCACCCCTAGACCTTCAGGCCCCTGTGTACTTGTACCGTGGCCTGCCTCAGAGATCTGCCTTTACCTGCCTGCTGGGCTTTCTTCCCCACCAGAGCCCAAGATTCTCAACAGCAGAAATGAGTCTTAATCTTCTGTGTTCCCAGAGCCCAGCACCATGCCTGGCATCCATCAGATATGCCATAAATGTTTGTTCATGTGACTAAAATGGGTGGGTTTGGCATGTTGGGTTAGAAGAAGTGGAAAATGAGCTCGTTTTACGGTGACGGACTCAGGTGTAAGTTCTGGAGATCGGGGTCTCCACATCCACAGCATACACAGTTCCTGGCATAGGACAGGCGCTCACCAAATATTTTTTTGAAAAAGCTAATAAATACAAAGTAGTGAAGACATTAACTTTTCATTTAATACAGAATCCCTCCTTCCAGCATGGGTCCTTATTTTCTCTCTTCTTATCCCAGAGTTAGCACACCATCCCGAGAAGGGAAATTTCAGGTATGTCTCGGAAGGAAGGTCAGCAGGTCATAAGAGACCTTACCACCATTTTGGAATGAATTGGTGTCTCCCTAGCAGAAAGCCCTACTTCTTTGGATTTTTAATAACATCTGATGTTTGAATTGTACTTTATGAGTTTCCCAAAACTTTCATATGTATTATCTTACCTGCCATCACATTTCTGTGATGCACACAGGCCAGGCAAGATCGACCTAATATGGTGGTAAAACTTTACCGAGTTAGTGGTCCAACGCCACTTGGTATCACACAGTAGAGCCCCAATGGACCCCAGTTCTGGCCCCTTTCTACTACCTTGCTTTCACCAACCAACACTGTGTATACCACAGAACTTTGGGGTCAGCATGATCTGTCTTTCAAAGCACCTGACACCTCAGAAGGAGAAAGATGCAGAGAAGACATATGCCAGAAAGTCCCAAAGAACAGTTAATTCATTTTTAAAAGACTGGATGTATGTCAAAGAGAAAAAAGGGACTTTTTGCTGGAGAAAAAAAACCCGTGTGTTAAAGTGTGTTAGAAGGAGGACTCAGGCCTTTTCTCTGGTAAGTAATCACTGGAAGGTCAAAGCCAGAAGGCAACCATTTGCAAAGACTCACAAAAATGAACCACGACATTCTGAATGGACTGCAACTGCACACAATGGCCAGGAATTTCTAAACACATCTAGATTTGAGAAACACTTCCTCTGATCCTGAATTAAAGACCAAATCTCCTTTCAAAAGAGAATAAAGAAAATTAAAGTTGTGTAAAAGAATGACATAAAAGTTAACAATATGAAGCTGAGAGAACTGAAAGTTGAGGTCCAATAGTTTCCTTTCAATCTTGTTCCAAATAGCTCTTCCACTTTCATCCACTTAGTCACTACAAATACACACCAGCCCTTGATACTTTCACAGCTCATTTACATACTTTAGAAGGCCCTTAAATCCTCAATCATATGCAAAACTCTACTTCCAACTACACATCTCTGGGAAAACCTCATGGTTTGGTTTGTGAGACTGTGACTCAAGATGGTGCCATGTGCTGGCTGGCAGTCCCAGAACCACAGGCGTAGGGAAGATGACCATCCACAGAAGAGAAGAGGTTTCTAAACCTTAAAGTACAATGTTCATGGTTCTAACCTCACTTCATCTCCAAGGCTCCACACTGTCCCGCGACCAGCGGCACCTACCACTGGGTTCTTGTGCCGGTCTGCCATGAGCTTACCTGAATTTGGTGAGATGTGTAAACTGCTCATGTCCTTGGACAGGCCATTGGTTTTAGGGCTGGAGATGGGCGCGCAGGCCGACGTGGCTCGGGGTGGCCTCTTCCCTGGGACTTTCACAGTGGTTCTCAGAAGATCAATCTCTTTACCATGAACATTCTGCATGTAATCCTGTTCAAAATGTTAAACATCCAAGAGAGATTAAAAAGAAGACCTCGTACAATCTAGGACACAAGGTTCTATCAGACACCATAAGTTATAATCCTATGACCCCTTCCACTGTGGCAAGCACTTTAAAAATAATGAGGTTTTGATCTGTCTAGTATGGTGGCATCATCATTATACTGAAATCACAGCCTCTGTGTCCTGAACTAACCCAGACCCTGGAAATACAAGGAGACACAGGAAATGCTTCCACTGGGGGGAGGACAGACCAGCTGGAGAAAATAAGTATCCATATGAAATCATGTTTTTTAAACTGCTGCTTATTACATGGCACACTAGGACCCCAGACTTTGTCTAAGTTTCAGGTAAAATTCCATGCAGTAGGAAACTATTTTTTAACAACTGTTCTGTCTCAGATAGCAACACCACTAAGCGCCTAGACAAGAATGAAGCTCTCTGGTGGGAGCTCAGGAGAAAACTAAGTAAAAGGTCAAGGATTTCACTAAGGACCAGGACAATGTCTGAGAGTTTGGTGGTATGGTGCTGAGAAAACACAGAGCTCATGGATGGATGTGTAATAATAGCTGGATGTTGAAAAAGAAAGAACACTGAGTAAGTGTGGTACTTAAGCATTGTGTTTCTCCAAGTGATTCAATGTATCCAGAAAAAGGTGTCTTGCCATTCTTTCCATGCTGGAGGTGAATGACCAGGAGCTAACATGGAACCGGGGGCAAGTCTAGGTGGATAGTGATGGTCTCTTTACATTTCAGTATAAAGTACCACCCAAGAACTGGTTGCTAGGTGGGGGAATGGGAGAGGAAAATGAGAGCCAGGGTGACGGGCTTACTGGTGAATTAGGAATTACTGGACCTCCACGTGCAAAGAATGTTCAAAAGGCTATACAAGGCTGGAGCCAGGAGGAATATGGGAGCAAAGACCAGCAGAGAAAGGATCCAGAGCTGTACCGAAGTGGGTCAGAAACAGACCAGCTCTTCAATGGGAGTGGGGAGGCTAGGCCTCTGTCAGCAGTCACCACCCAGAGAGATATAGTGGGATCCATAGATCTGCTGTCAGCCATGGGAGCCAGGAGCAGAGGCCCTGATGCAACCCTGCAGGACAGGCTGGCTGGCGTTCGTCTCCGCCATCTTGACAGACCCAAGACTCCACCTGGAAGTCAAGATGCTTGGGAAACTCCCCAAAATATAATTAACCATGAAAGAGCTATGTTTTGAAAGGATGTGGACCAAAGACAGAAGGTTGTTACCATTAAGTTAGATAGAAGGATAAGACAGACTGGAAAAAATACATGGAACCTCATGAATGAGCTCAGGGTGTTGAGGATGGTGAACAAAAAGCAGAAGGGAAGTGATCTTTGCTTAATCTAGGGCTGAGGGTCAAGGTCATCCACAAAAAAAAAAAAAAGTTGTTCTTAAACATCTTTAACTTACTTCCATTAATATCCACTGAAAATAGGCCAACCTAAGCTTCAACACTGAAGTTAAGGCTTGTACATAATGAGTTCATTCTTGCATAGTTACTCTTTCAAAAATATCAACTTGCTATAACTTTCTTCTTTAATGCCAATTCTTAACAAATTAAAATACAATAACAGGAGTGTAATTGAGCATTTATTGCTTATGGGCTCTAAAATGAGGCTAATCAGATAGTGACTAAAGCCTCAGCATGGGTTCTTTTAATAGGCATGTTTTAACATACAATAACCATGATATTTTATTTAAAATTATTATAGAAATGTACCAAGTGTCTGCTTTTTGGATTACAATGCAGCAAGGGAACACATTTATCTTTGGCTCAGCATGGGCCAGGGAATCTGTTTTCTCGCTTGAGTTAGGCACCAAAACTTCAGAGGAGCTAGATCTAAAAAAAAAACAAACCAGGATATAAACTTGGCAATTCTTACAGTGCAAGCCACTAACATTTTTACAAACCTTACAAAATGCACTTCCTAATCCACAAAAGCCCTTCAACATGGTGTTTCGGAAACAGGTGGAATGCAAAGGCGCGCAACTGCGGCTTCAAGTTTCCCCCAAGAGAAACGACGCTGAGTTTTCTGTTTTTGAAAGAACCCAGCCTTTTCATCTTGCCCCAGCTTGGTACTTGAGGAATTAAAGCCAGGACCACTAACCAATGTCGCCTCCTCAGAAGTGGGACACGCGGCCCTACAGGTTTGAGGTTGGGGCCTCACTGGGTGAAGTAAAGACAGCAAGCTTGATTTTGATATGCAAATGTTACAGATACTACCCTTCTCCTGTTCCTTGTAGAAAATGCTGATCGATGATAAAAGGGGAAAAAAACCCTTTAACAAGGCATGAGGGTAATTCAAAGCCAAGTACTTTTAAACAGCACTTAACAAGTCCCCGGGGCCCACTCAAGAGCCAGGCCCCCCAGAGGTGCTATCTCCTGCCCCTCAACAGCTTGAAAAAGTAGTAATTGCAAACCTATTTGCATTTTTCTTCTCAAGTTGTCCATGCTCATCGTGCGGATTATTTTCTCCAAGCAGGCGCTGGAGCAAAGGGACCCGTTGCCGAACGTGCGGTGAGCTCAGGAACGGAGCACTGTGGCCCCCCGCAAGCCCACTCCTGCACCTTTGCCATCCCTTGTTTTTTACCTCTCGCTCCTAATTATGTTGCATCTATTGCCGTACACTTAATTAGCTGCATTAATGTGATTTCTTTTCACATAGTCAAGCAATTAAGAGCTATGATTGAGTTTCATTCAATTAGCCTCAACAAACATGCTAATTGATGTCCCAGATGCAAATGAGGTGCAATGAGAGAAACCTGCTAGCAATTGAGAGCCGTGTCAGAGACCCACAGCTTCCAGCTTGCTGACAGAAGCACGGTTTAACGCGGCTCCAGCCTTCTGGGGGGCTGCCTTCAGAGAGGGCCGCGGAGTCATTAGTGCCGTGGTGGACGGCATCTCTCTGGACTCGGAGAATTAATTGATTTGCGGCTGACAATCTTGTCCTCCAATCTCATGGTCATGCATTACCAGGACCTGGAGGTCATCGACTGGCTAACGCGGTGCTCTGGCGGGGAGAGTAAGCCCTCACCCAAACATGGCATGAGGCTGCTGGAACCCAGATGTTTTCCCCAAAACCGCAGAGGGAAAGGTGTGGAGGTCCTGGCCTGGCGATCTCAGAGCCCTCTCCGTGCGTGATGGACTATACGGTTCTCAGTAAATGGTGAGTTCATCTTAGTCAGCTCTGGGGCATCTGGCGCTGGACTTAAGCTCAAAATACAGCAATCCATCAATAGTCCCTAAAAATACTCTTACTATATTGATTCTCACTGCCTCCCATCCTGACGTTACCTTTGGCTGTCTGCTGAAAGATGGGTTTGCTTGAGTGTGTTCATGGCGTTACCAAAAGTAGTTAACAAGATCTTAAAGCCAACTCCAAATGTAGAAATGGTATGACTGGCATCTCAGAATGAGAGCATCTGAATCAAACACACGGCTTTGAGACTATCTTCAAGGACAGATAATGTAATTAACACCACTGTGATTTTAACACAGATTTTTTTATACAGTATGGAGACCCTTCATCTTCACAAATGATGGGAAAAAAATCACAGAAATTTTTTTCCCATTATGTTTTCCCAATAAGTTCTGGTTTCTAATTGTACATAAATGCCTAGAAATTTAATATATTAACATGTAATATAGCTTGTCTAGGTGAGATAATTGTTAGCACAAACTAATACTTGCTGTGGTCAATATGTTGAACTTTTCCTCTTTGCATGACCTAGCTTGGCAGTCCTCAAAGTGTGGTCCCTGATTCACTATCCGGGGGTTCACAGGTTCAGGACTATCTTTAAAATATCCCAAGACACTGTTCGCCTCTTCTAGAGCTGCAATTTGTTTTTCTGGTGACTAAAACTGCTGGTTCTAGACCATAAACCCAGGCAGCAGAACCAAACTGCACTAGTCCCTCTTGTCAGTATTCATTGCCATGTTCTCTAAATAAAAACAAACAGAAAGTTTCACTTAAGAATGTTCTTGAGGCACCTGGGTGGCTCAGTGGGTTAAGCATCTGCCTTTGGCTCAGGTCATAATCCTGGGGTCCTGGGATCAAGCCCAGTGTCAGTCTCCCTCTCCCTGCCGCTCCCCCTGCTGCTGCTGCTTCTCTCTCTGTGTCAAATTAAAAAAAAAAAAAAAAAAAGGCAGCCCTTGATTCTTAAACATTTCAACCCTGAAGTACATACACATCTTCTTAATTTTTTGGGTAATAACAGGGCAAGCGTGTGCGAGCGTTGGTGCCACACATGGAAGGGGACGGGTGTCCCACAGAAACATACTTCTGCAGTTGTCTGAGGTTTGAGCTGAACTAGCCGCTTTTTTGGTGGGACCTATTTTTACTTGAAAGAATGACTATGTCAGACGTTATAGGACTATTCAACCTTGGGCATTCAGCAGCTGTTTTCTTGAAATGAACAGCATGACCACTGCAGGGAAAAGAGTGGACAGTATCTGTAGCTGGTGTAGAACCCGAGTTTCCGGTGAGGATGAGAATCTTGGCAACTTGCATCTCTCACCGTGAGCTTCACACTTTCCTAATACTGATGCTCCTTCCCAAGACGGGCGGTGATATAAAACCAAACAGTTTCTGGATATTATATGATGGAAAGTGTCTCCATTTGGAAAGCTGCATATCTCAGTTAAATAATTTTTTTTCGATTACTTATTTGAGAGAGAGAGAGAGAGAGAGAGAAAATGTGCGTGCATGTGTGCGCGCACGCACACACACACACACACACACACTCAGCGGGAAAGGAGAGAATCTCAAGCACACTCCCTGCTGAGCATGGGACTCTTGATCTCACAAACCTGAGATCAAGACCTAAGGTGAAATCAAGAGTCGGATGCTTAACTGAATGAGCCACCCAGGCGTCCCTAAGCAATGTTTTTGAAATGACCTATGCATGGTGTCACACAGAAGGTCATTCAACCAGCAAAGACAGTTCAATGGATCTTCACTGAGCAGA